TTGAAAATACCATGGCTTGGGTTAGACACACCTTAGTCTTCAAAGAGATATCTTTGCTCTTCAGCACTTTAAATAGGTCTTTTGCAGCAGTGCAATACATCATCTGATTTCTTGACTGCTGCTTCCGTTGGTGTTGAATGTGGATCCAAGTAATATAAAATCTTTGACAACTTTAATCTTTTCTCCATTTATCATGATGCTGCTTATAGCTCCAATTATGAGGATTTTCATTTTCTTTATGTTGAGGTGTAATCCAGACTGCAGACTAGAGTCTTTAATCTTCATCAGTAAGTGTTTCAAGTCATCTTCACTTTCAACAAGCAATGTTGTGTCATCCACATATCACAAGTTGTTAATGAGTCTTCCTCCAATCCTGATGTCCCATTCTTCTTCCTATACTACAGGTTCTCAGACTAATTGCACTGGATACATATTGAATAAGTATGGTGAAAGGATACAACCCTGACACACCCCCTTCCTGATTTTAAACCATGCAGTATTCCTTTGTTCTGTTTGAAAGACAGCCTCCTTATCTATGTACAGGTTCCTCATGAGCACAAGTGTCCTCATGAGTGTTCTGGAATTTCCCTCTCACTGTTATCCATAATTTATTATGATCCCCCTAGTCAAATACTTTTGTGCAGTCAATAAAACACAAGTAAACATCTTTGCTTTCAGCCAAGATCCATCTGACATCAGCAATGATATCCTTCATTCCATGTCCTCTTTTGAATCCAGCTTGCATTTCTGGAAACTCTCTGTCAATATACTGCTGCAACTGTGTTTGAATTATCTTCAGTAAGATCTTACTTGCATGTGATGTTAATGATATTGTTCAATAATTTCCATATTCTGTGGGATCATCTTTCTTTGGAATGGATACAAATATGGATCTCTTCCAGTCAGTTGGCCAGGTAGCTGCCTTCCAAATTTCTTGGCATAGATGAGTACTTCCAGCCCAGCATCCATTTGTTTAAACATCTCAATGGGTATTCCATCAATTCCTGGAGCCTTGTTCTTCACCAATTCCTTCAGTGCAGCTTTGACTTCTTCCTTCAGTACCATTGGTTCTTGATCATATGCCACCTCCTGAAATGGATGACCATCAACCAATTCTTTTTGGTACAGTGACTCTTTGTATTCCTTCTATCTTCTTTTGATGCTTCCTGCATCATTCAATATTTTGCTCATAGAATCTTTCATTATTATAACTCGAGGCTTGAATTCTTTCTTCAGTTCTTTCAGCTGGAGAAATGCTGAGTATGTTCTTCTCTTTTGGTTTTCTAATTCCAGGTCTTTTCACATTTCATTGTAATAATTGACTTTGCCTTTTCAAGCTGCCCTTGGAAATCTATTCACCTCTTTTACCCTGTCATTTCTTTCATTTGCTTTTGCTACTCTCTGTCCAAGAGCAAGTTTCAGAGTCTCTTCTGACTTCAATTTTGGTCTTTTCTTCCTTTCCTGTCTTTTCAATTACCTTTTGCTCTCTTCATGGGTGATGTTCTTGATGTCATCCCACAATTCATCTGGTTTTCTATCATTGGTGTTCAATGCATCAATTCTGTTCTTTAGATGCTCTCTAAATCCAAGAGGAATATATTCAAGATCATATTTTGGCTCTCGTGGATTTGTTTTAATTCTCTTAAACTTCAAGTTGAACTTGCATATAAACAGTTGATGGTCTGTTCCACAGTCAGCTCCAGGCCTTGTTTTGCCTGAAAATATTGAGCTTTTCATTGTAATCAATCTGATTCCTATGTATTCCGTCTGGCTAAGTCCATCTGTATAGCCATTGTTTATGTTGTTGAAAAAAGCTATTTGCAATGAATAAGTCATTGGTCTTGCAAAATTCTATCGTGTGATCTCCAGCATCATTTCTATCACCAAAGCTATATTTTCCAACTACTGGTGGTTCTCCTTTGTTTCCAACTTTTACATTCCAATCACCAGTAATATATAATCAACACATCTTGATTGCATGTTTGGCCAATTTCAGACTGCAGAAATTGGTAAAATCTTCAATTTCCTTGTCTCGATATTGGTGGTTGGTGCATAAATTTGAATAATAGTAGTAGTAACTGGTCTTCCTTATAGGCATATCGATATTACCCTATCACTGACAGCATTGTGCTTCAGGATAAATCTTGAAACATTCTTTGTGATGATGAATGTTACACAATTCCTCTTACATCATTTCTCTTCAATTTGTCATTCCCGACATAGTAGATCATATGGATAGTCTGATTCAAACTGGCCAAAACTAGTCCATTTCTATTTATGACAACTTACAATTTTCCTAGATTCATGCTTTGTACATTCCACATTCTAATTTTATTTGATCTTTGTAGCTGTTTCTTCCCATTTTGAGTAGTGCCACATCAGCAGATGGAGGGCCTGAAAGCTTTACTCCATCCACGTCATTAAAGTCAACTCTGTTTTGAGGAGGCAGCTCTTCCCCAGTCGTATTTTGAGTGCCTTCTGACCTGAGTGGTTTATTTTCTGGCACTATATCAGACAGTATTTCAGGGCTATTCATAAAGTTTTCCAGTAATACATCAGGCAGTGTTTCACTGTTATTTATAAGGTTTTCACTAGCCAATTTTTTTGAGAAGTGGTTGGTCCCTTCCTCCTTCCAAGTCTGTCTTAGTCTGGAAAGTCTCCTGAAACCTGTCCACCATGGGTGACCCTGCTGGTATTTAAAATACCCATGACATAGCCTTTAACCTCAGAGCAACATACAAGCCACCACAGTAAGACAATCTGACAGACAACTTTAAGAGTATGTGCACTATTTGTGTATTCTTAGAAAAATTAAGATTTTTTCATGCTTATAAATTTTTCAGTCTACTTCTGTAGTGATAATTGCCTTGGAAACCCAAAGAGGGATCACTATAAGTCAGATCTGACTTGACAGCAGTGAGTTTTTGAGTTTTATATAAGGGTTATATTTTTTATAGAAAGATGTCACTTAAGAAGCACCAAAATGTCATAACACATGAAATGAAGTAATCTAGAAGATTTCTCAAAGAAGATAAAATATGGACCACACTTTTAGGGAGTTGAAAAATACAGACATAATGCAGAGACTAGGACACGTTGTGAAAATAAGTCAGATCTTGGTCTGTGTATCTAATGAAAAGCCTGACAGATTCTCAGAGCTGGAGTTGAAAGATCTCATTTCTTCATGATTTATGTATTTCTATCAAATACTTTTGTTGGTAAAGAATACTGAAAGTATCACAGACTGTCAGAAGAACTAACAAATCTGTCCTTGAAGATGTGCAGCCAGAATGCTGCTTGGAAGCAAGAATGGCCAGACTTCATCTCACCTACTTTGGTCATGTTGTCAGAAGGGACCATTCCCTGGAGAAGGATATCATGCTTGGTAAAGTGGAGGGTCAGCGAAAAAGGGAAAAGCCTCAATGGGATGAATTGATACAGTGGCTGCAACTATGGGCTCAGGTACAGAAGTGTGAGGCTGGCAAAGGACCAGGCAGTGTCTCATTCTGCTGTATATAGGGTTGCTATGAGTCAGTGCTGACTCCACGGCACCTAACAACAACAACAGGGCAAAATGTGGAATTTAACAAACTTGTTATATTTCTGCCCAAAATTGAAACCACTTTATGAGAGCTAAATTAGGATATATCAACATAAGCATTTCTGTGGTCCCAATAGAAAAATGTGTTGATGGTGTATGAAAATGAGGAAGCTTCTGAACTTCCTGGGGAAAACAGTCTCATCATTTTGAAAGTATGATAAATAAAAGAAGGAAGGTGACAAAGGAAGACAACTTTTAGACAAATTTTACAAAAAACGAAAGCACAAGTCAATTGGAGAAGAGCAAAAATTAAGAACAGCAGATTAACTGAAGAATATTATTGACATGGCTGTAAAACAATAAAAAAATATGCACTGTGTTGAGATCCAGTAGCATAGTGTCTAAGGCACTTGACTGGTAACCAAAAGGCTGGCAGTTCAAACTCACCAGCCACTCCTCGGAAGGAAGGTTGGGCAATCTACTTCCGTAATGACACCACCTCAGAAACCCAAGGAGGGGTCGCTATATCTGACTTGATGGCACATAACAACAACAACATGTTGAGATAAGCATATTAAGTTATGCTCGTAAACTTCAAATTAACTTTTTTAAATTTTTTATTTAGAAATAATTTCAAACATACCGAAATCTTTCCAGAATAAGAACAGTACAAACAATGTCCATATAGCCGTTACCTAAATTTATCTGTTATTATCATTTTGTCCTATTTGAGTTATCTTTTGTTCTGGTTACCTAGTGCTGCTCTGACAAGAAACATACCACAAATGGGATAGCCTTAACAAACAGGAGTTTATTCTCTTACAGTTTGGAGGCTTTAAGTCCAAGTTCAAAATGCCAGGTTTTAGGGGCTGGGAGAAAGCCCCTCAACCTTGGGGTCCAGCTCTGACTCCTGCTTCTGGCCCACTGGAACTAGAGGCATTTCTTCTCTCAGACAGCTGCTGGCTGCTGAGGCTGACAAGCCCAAGGTTGACAAGTAAAAAGGCACAGTCCCAGTGTTACCAAACCACATGGCAAGCTATTAATTCAAGTCCATTGTAAGTTCCAAGGTCAGCAGAGCAAGGCAGGCTGCTGAACAATGACACAGCTACATGCAGGGTCCAAGCATGCCATAAGCTGGAGACCATTCCCAAGATTTCTCCTTGTATACAAGAAACAGATTATATCCCAAAGGCAGCTACTCAGCTGCTTGTGGTAGATCCTACCATGGAGCTGATTGCCAGTCTCATCATGGGGAATAACTACCACCAGCTGCCCAGCCACTCAACCAGGCCCAGCCAAGTTGACATACAAGCATAACTACCACATCATTGAAATGAATGATTTCAATCTTATCTCTTGGAATTTTATTAGTAGTATTCACAAGAAATAACCAGATAATATCAGTAGGGCAGATAATTTTTTAATATTATTTATCCAAACACAGAAAAAACATTATATTTCAAGAGAATTGAAATTTGGAGGCTGCTGCTTTTTCACCCACAGCTCTTAAGGCTTTTCTTATGTCCTTATTCCTCAAAGTATAAATGATGGGGTTTAACATGGGGGTGACAACACTGTACAGTACTGAGACCAGCCGGTCTTTTGACAATGAGTAAGATGAGATAGGCCGTACATATGTGAAGATGGAGCTGCCATAGTAGAGAAGGACAATGACCAAGTGAGAGGCACACGTAGAAAAGGCCTTTTGCCTCCCCTCTGAAGAGCGGATTTTTAAGATGGTAGAGATGATATAGAGATAGGAAAGAATAATACCCAGAAAAGGAGCCCACCCAATGAAGACCCCAATGATGAGTAGCACCAGCTCATTGACAGACGTATCCCCACAAGACAAAATCAGCAAAGGGGGGATATCACAGAAGAAATAATTAATCTGGTTATTGCCACAGAAGGGTAGGCGGAAGGTCAACACTGTGTGCACCACTGAGTTGAGGAAACCACTAATCCAACAGGATGCTGCTAACTGGCTATACAAGGCCTTGTTCATAATAACAGAATACCTTAAAGGCTTACAAATTGCAATGTAACGGTCATATGCCATTGCTGCCAGCAAAAGACACTCTACCCCCACAAAGAAAAGGAATGCAAAAAGTTGAGTCACACAGCCCCCATAGGAAATGTATTTATTCTCTGATAGGAGATGCACCATCATCTGGGGGACATTAGTGGTGGTGTAGCAGATGTCAAGAAAGGCCAGATTCCTCAGAAAAAAATACATGGGTGTGTGTAGTTGGGGATCAGCTATGGTTACCAAAATAATGAAGATATTTCCTCCCAGGGTACAGAGATAGATCATAAGAAATATGGTGAAGAGTAAAAATTGCAAATCATTTAGACTAGCAAATCCCAAGATGATGAATTCTGTAAGAGCTGTTTGGTTTTCTCCTTCCATGATGTTTCCTCTTGGGATCTGAGAAAGGTGCAGCAGAAATTATAGTATTCATGTGCTGCAACAACAATAATCTACAAAACAAAAGATAGCTTCATAGAGAAAAGAATCCTTGTCTCCAACATGATAAACACTAGGGCCCTGGTATTACAGAATCCAGGAGCCCTGATGGGACAATGGTTAAAGCACTCCACTGCTAACCAAAATGCCAGCAATTGGAACTCACCAGCAGCTCCATGTGAGAAAGATATGGTAATCTTCATCCTGAAATACTGCAGCCTTGGAAACCCTATGGGGCAGTTCTACTTTGTTCTATAGGGTCTCTATGAGTTGAAATAGACTAGAGGGCAGTGGGTTATATTTTATTTTATTTTTTATTATTATTTTTTTAATATGGAATCCAGGAGAAATTATTGTGGTGTCAACAGTTACCACATTAAAAACACATTTAACATTTCCTGTGGAATGCATCTCTTATAGCAAATTAGCAGGACTTTTACAAGAAAAGGAAATGTTAAAGATTCCACATACAGCAGCTTAAGGGCTATTCATGAAAATGAGGAGTGGTCATCCCCTTCCCTTACAGCCCACTGTATTTTGGAGATGGTTGGTAAGGATCATCATCAGAGAGTTTATGTAAGAGTTGTGAGGTTATTTGAGCCTCACCTTGGGATGCCTCCTTGTGCTTTCTTGTGCTTTTGAAGACTGCTTTTTATACTTTTAATATAATTATAAGTTATATATTAAAGATAATGGGAGAGGAAGAGAGGATGTGAAAAGCAAGGTGGTACCAGAATATGTCTTTGGAAAAATTCACAAAATAACCGGTAGTGGTGTGCTGGAACAGGTTCTTACAATACATGGCTTGGAAATACAGTGTTGATGGATTTGGTTATTAAAACTACTCTCCAGTAGAGAGACTATATAAGAAAAGAAAAAATAAAGTCTTTTATGTTCCAGGTTTGATGATAAAACATGACAAATACTTGATCTCATTTTAGATCCAAATAGCCTGTTCACGCCTGTGCTCTACCTGCTTTGTGGGACATAAATAGGTCACATCTTGAATGCCAATTTTGATTAACATGGCCACTTCAATCAGTGTTTAATATATGTTCAAGAACATAAGACTGACTCAGTTCAGATACTCTGAGTCACCGTACCTGACTAACCATCTCTGTCAAAAATATGTTTACTTCCTTGGCCCCAGAAGTTTCTGTTGCCCAAAAGGCGTCTGGGAGTGTGTTAGGCTGGGTTCCCTAGAGAAGCAAAACCAGTAAAGCTTATAAATATAATAGAAATTTATAACTATGCTAATATAAACTGTTGCAAATGAAAAACATAAAAATTCAATGATGAATTCAGCTTGACTCAATCCTATTGCTAGATAAACATCTTAATTATCCTCATGGAAATGGATCAATAGTTACAGCTTTTTTGATATAAAGTTCCTCTATTGTTGTTGACTTCCCATACTCCCTAAACCACCAGCATGCTTAATTCACTGCAGGCTAATTTTTTTAGGTTGTAGAGTGGTTAGCATATTCTATATGTAGAAGCTAGCATCATTTCTACAAATTGTCCATTTTTCTTTTACACAAACTGGCCAGGATTCAAATTTACTGCATATTCCCATTTATTTGACTTGTGTGTATGTTTTCTTACCATAACAGTAAAGTATATTAACTGCAGAATACTTGGAAAATAAGGAAAATTATAAAGAAATAATAATCCTTAATCTCACTGAGTGTTAAATTACTTCATATATCAAACCTGAATAAGATTGTATACAATTTTTTATCCTATACTATATTGTGATATTTCTCCTGTCATTAAAATTTTCTACAATATGGTTTTAATGGCTACATGTAAGGCCATGGTACGGATGCACCAAACTTTACAAAACCCAAGACTTGATGTTAGACTTCTTTTTTCTTTTTGCTATTATAAATTATTATAATGAATATTTAATTACACAAGTATTTCTGTACATCTTTTTTCACTTCTAAAAAGTACAGTTCAAGGAAGTGTTAATGAGTACATTTGGAGAAATTACCTCTTATTATTATTATAATCTGAATAGGGGAAATTAGCATCAACTGAGCAAATATAGATGATCAGAGACAATATGATATAAATGAAAGAGCACCTGTCATGACCAGAAAATCAAGAGGACTGGATCTTTTCTTTCCTATCACCCATTAGCTGGTTGAACTTTGGAAGTTTATTTACATTTTCTGGTTCTCCACTGATTCATACGTAAAATCATAAGAACTGACTGTCTCCAAAATTCTAGAAAAAATATTTAACTTTTATGACACAAAAAATAGTAGTTTAGTTTAATCAATGATCTACACTGATTGCTTAGTGTGATGAAGTAAAAACTTGAAAAATGAATCAGTTTCTCATCAATGACTTTAGCAATGTGTTGTCACAGTTAAAGACATCACTAAATTAAATACACTAATAATGATCATAGCATACTGAAACTGTTCAATCTTTTCTTTCTCTTCCAGCTTAGCTGGAACTATGGCTTGTACAAATTCACATATGGGCCTCCCACACAAAAACCCTGTCTCCTTTGACCTTCTTGATTTGCACAAAATATTTCTGACACACAGCTTTAATCTATGTATGCACTCAAATGTTCCCAATTGACATTCAACACACCCTCTGTTTCTTCTGATATGCTTAAATTTTAATTACTTTGTATATCTTGCCTTTTGTAGACTTCATAAAATGATACAATTACTGACTAGAACCAACTTCCAAGTAAAGAAAAAATGGCTGTGTTCTGTTCTGTCTTCTTTTGTATTGTGTGTTTCTTTCTAAACTTTGCTTGCTATTAAAACTCTCTGCTTGCTTATGTTCAGAGAAATATCTCCTAGTCTTTGCTGGGAGATGCGCTTCCATCCATGGATCTTTTCAAAACCAAATATACTCTATAAAATTAACCTTGTCAGAATAATTTTAAAAAGACAACTCAGAAAACAAATATGGGAAAAAAAAGTGAGTAAAAGAAATAAATAATGCATGGGAGGTCACTGACTCTAATGAGACCAAGGTCCATTGACCCCTTCCTAAGTTTCTCCAGATCCCTGAAATATTTGATTTACTCTAATTCAGTTGTTTGTGATTGAGATCAAGATTTATACACATTGACACACGAACTAAATAGAAATCTTAAAGCTAGATCTTTTGGATACAAGATAGAAGTTTGTTTACACGACAGTCTCACAATTGTTAAAATAAGAAAAATAAATAAAGAAGAAACTACTTAGAGTACTTTCTTGTTTGTCTTCAAGGAAAACAAAATAGTATGAAAGACAACAATTGTGGTTCAAGCCAATGTTAAATTATATTTGGCTTTTTCTTTGTAATTAATGAGAATTTTCTTTTTTTTCTAAGTTGGCCCACTACTTGTTTATTTTCAGTACACACATAAAGAACTGTTATTGTTGTTGTGTGCCGTCGAGTCAAACCCGACTCTTAGTGACACCTTCTTGGGTTTCTGAGGTAGTATCACTACGGAAGTAGATTGCCTGACCTTCCTTCCAAGGAGTGGCTGGTGGATTTGAACCACCAGCCTTCTGGTTAGCAGTCAACTGCCTTAGGCACTATGCTACCAGAGCTCCCACATATAGAACTAGAGCTCTAGAAAGGGGTAAAAGAGGAAGAACTAACACTATAGGAAATATTGCTGAAAGGGGAATTGATTCATAACCCTGTTAAAAAAATTGTATGGGATAATTAAAATACATTTAATCGACACAAATCAATTTATTTCTACTTAACTTCATGGAAGCAATGTTTTGTTTGAATGTCATGAAAAATAAGATTTTCATGAAGAGAATTTCTCATTAGTTAATCTATAGGGGGCAGGACTTGGCAGAATTCCATCTCTGTATGGAATCAAATGGAAAACAATAAATTGGAAAACCCAGAAGTTCAGACCTGGAGCTAAGGAAAGACATACTGGCTTCTAGAATTTTTTTATCAATATTAAAGTTAGGGATTTAATCTGAATTCATTTATGCAACAAACTTTCTTATATGTTATCTGAATGCTCTCTCCTACATACAATAGGAAATTGAATTATCAGTTTAGACAGGGTTTTGGTTGTTATTACAGGATGTTTTGTAGCATGCTTGTATTAATAGCAAAGGAAAAATATCCCATGGCAGCATAGTTTCCATTATCAGTGAATTTTCTAGAAGTGATAACACTGTGTTTATCAATGGAAAATTCACAAATAAGACTAGAAATTCTAAGAGATCCTGCCCTCTAAGCCTTTTATCTCCTTCACCATCAGTCTCTATTTCCTCTCCAACATTGAAATCTAACTAAACCAATGATAACCATGGCTATTTTAAATAATCTGTAAGCATGTTTTGCAAGTCAAGCATTATTCTTGGGGCTGAAAATTCTATGGCGTAACTTGGACTGTATATCATGAAACATACAGAATGGGGAATTAGAGAATCTTAGAATTGCTGATTTGAAAGGAGCCTTAAAAAATATCTTCTCCAGACACTGAAATATCTTCCACAGTTGTTTACTAAGTGATCATCCAGCCTAAGGGTGAATGCTGCGTTGATGAGAGATCCAAAACTTCTAAAGGCACCCTATTTGATCTTCAGACAAAGATAAGAGTTAGAAAATTCTTTCTATTTTCCTTGTGCTTGAATTTTTATAGCTGGTAGGATGCATAAGGCCAGACTCTTCCATTTACTAGTTCTGTGAGCACTAACAAATTTCAGCTTCTCCATGTACTTACTGGCTATGTGAACACAAGCAAGTTTAAAAAAAAAAAAAATCATTATTATTACTGTTTCACCTATTTAGTTTTAGGTCTGCCTTTGGAAACTGTGGGTAAAATTTGCTCCATCTTCTACATAAAAGACTACTACGTGAAAATTGGATTCTCCAGAATAAACAAATTCTCATAAAATATGCATGTAATAACAAACTTTTATGCCAGAATCAATTTGTTCTATCATCTG